GAAAAAAAAATCTCGGTGTATTTACTAAGAATAGGGTATAACTACCAAGAATTCAGGGTTCTATTTGATCCCAGTTTTTTCTTGGTAAAATCACCATTTATGGAATTGGTAATTTTACCGAGAAATCTCGGTAAAATTATTGTACTTTCTCGGTAATTTTACTGGACCTTGGTAAAAACGCCAATATTTTTTATCGACTGTGATATATGTAGAATTACCGAGATAAAATGGCAAAGTTACCGGGAATTGATCACCAATAAAAGTGGTATTCTTACCTGAAAAAAAACAGTAAAAATACCGGTTTTCAGGTAAGCTTACCAGTCTGTCTTGATAAAATTACCAAGAAATGGTAAAAAAAAGTGAGATGGTAAAGGTGCCAACGGACCTTGGTAAAAACGCCGAGAATTTTTTTTTCAGTGTAGAGCTGGTTTGTTAGTTCGGCACTCTGGGAGATTCAAGCGGGGAAAATGACCTCCGAGTGGACTGATTATTGAAATTGATAGACTTAAGCGGATACAAGCACTTCGAATAGAGGGAGTCCGGGGGGCCTCCTCCAGAAAATTTTCGCAATTTTAAAGCACCTAATATGCAGTTTGAGTCCATTCCGTCATGAATAATTACCAAATACAAGCGCGCTTCCTTCCTCTCACCTTTCTCTTCCTTCTTTTTTTCGGGCGAGGGTGGAGGGGGCGTAAGCCCCACACGCCTCCCCCCCTTTGGATCCGCCTATGTTGATAGACAATATAACCCTATGGACATGGGAGCCAAAAGGAAAATTGAGCGATTCTATTGGTTGAAACGGGTGGTTATTTTAGACTAGGAAGGGAAATGATGGACTGATTATAGGCACAGAATATATAGGCTACACCAATATGTGAAGCCTATATATTCTGTGTTATAGGGTCCCTCGTAAGGTTGACGTTAGTTGGTCTCTTAATTACTTCCTCCGTCCATTGCGACCACCAGCTTCCAACTATAGGATTGCTCCCATTTTTTTTTTTTTTTTGTCTCCTCCAGCTATTAATCTCAATAATCAGCCCGTAAGGGTAATTGAGGGGCTCAGAGGACAAGGCGCATTAGTGCAATTCTTGAAAAAAATTAGATATGAATGATTTCAAGTAAAACTAGTCTTAACGCATACTCTGAGCAAAATTCGCTCTTAAATTCTAATTTTAAAGCATCAAATAGTCAGTTTGAACTTTCTTTCCGTCATTAGGGTCCATGTAATTTCGAAACTTTAAACATGTATTTCTCGAAATAACAAAAAATGCACCTATGCGCCTTGTCCTCCAAACCCCTTAATTGATTTACCTGCGATCGACGATTGCGTTGCGGCTCGATCCGCCAAATTCTGATAAACAAGTTTGCAGGGATGTCGGGCAGCCGAAAGCATAACGATGAATAGACTAGATAAACACTTACCTGAATTATATTGTGACGTAGAACATTTTCTGTTTTATTTTATTTCGAGGTTCTCGGGGATTTTTCTTCTCTTCATGGAGAGAAGTAAGGATATTCGAAACAATGAAGTACTGTTACATTTTCCTTGATGAAATGGAAAAGCGGGGGAATTTTGGAAAACAGCAAATGCAAAACACCAATGATTTAAGTTTCATGACTCATAACTACTGGATTAAATTTTGCAATAAGGAACCACTATTTCTGGCCCATTTCAAAAACAACACACATGCCATCGGTTTCCCTACGCAGATATGTGATTTTATGGGAGAGCCAGAGATAGTGGTTCCTTATTGTAAAATGTAATCCAACTAAACTACTGAGTCAGGTGCCATTACTGTTACGCACCCTCTTTGAGTATGTCAGACAACAGTAATGTGTTTAGCGATGAACAGACAAGCAATACTGATTGTGAGCATAAATTGGGCAGTGACTTTGCGCTTTGACTTGGAGCGAGTACATTCGCCTTCTTTTGATAAGATAGGCAAGATGTGCTACTCCACGTTGAGATGGTAGTATATAACGCCGTTGGCGAAGTGTGTGGAAGACATTTTTGTGATTTAGGTACCAGTATTTTTAGTAAAGTATAAAGAGGAGTCATTTGACCAAGGACAAATAGTTATGACTGTAAGTTGTGCAAATTTCTCCATTCAAATTCTTTTACGTTTTGTTTCGTTGAATATTTGCTTCGAGGGACCCCCACCATTATCAGCGGTTTGGGCGGTGATCGTTTATCATTGCCTGCGCTCTTATTTGCCTGTGTCGGGGTCCCACCGCGAAACTTGCTGATGATCGTGGACAGTGCGGCCGTGTTAAGGAAAAACACCGTATGAGCCTGTAGGCGTTGCCATATATCCGTCGAGAAAATACGAAATTATTGGAAAACTTTTGGATATTTTTCTACAAATTTTTTACACGATTTCAACCACAATTTAATCTACAGTGTCTNTACGTATCTGTCAGTGCTTTATAGAAAGCACACATAAAGAATGTATTGAGGAATGCGACTTCAAGTATTTTTACATGCGCGTATACCGCTCTTTGAGACCTCAAAAATCAAACTTAAAAAAATCAATTTTTCGCTAAAAACTACGGAAAACGGCCTTCTGGTACGCTGTAATTTTCAAAAATTTTCCGGGGGGGACCCCCGAACCCCCCGCCTTCCTGGGGGGTATTCCATACCTTTCAGACCCCCCGGCGTGGGGGGCGCCAAAATCTGGGTTTGCACCCCCCTACGTGAAACGTAGATCCGGCCCTGATTCGATAAAACAAAAAGGTAAAGGGATTTAGACGCGACTCATAGTCATAACCACCAATGCTGTTCCTGGGAGATTGCCTATTTTGCCTCTGTGTGAAATGAAGGCCCAGACGCACACTGCGTGATCAACCTGGACGCAGGATTTTTTTTCATCCTGAACTTTAAAAAAATTTCAGATTCCAATGGGTATGGATTTTAAGCTTCATTGGCCACTCGAATGACGAGGGGCATCGTTTGAAGGAAAGAAGGAGACATAAAGAGTACGCGTAAATTCTTGCAATTTGAGAGCACAGTTTTTCCTCCGTGCTAATACTGAAATATTCAATTCTAGGTGAATAATCAATATTTATAATGAATTTAAATGCGGGGAAAACATTGTTGCCAACCTGTAGGAATCGCTACTAGTAAAAAGTCGAACGACAATCAAGAATTGTACGACAAGGGCACCCAAAAGTTTACCATGTGAAACTAGAAATGACAGCTACAAAAGTATTCTCATTTGTAGGATTTGCGAGAACACAAGGTCAAAAGAGCGAGATTTTAATAAAATCATACACAATTTATTATTTAAAAGAGTACTATTTAATTTGGATCACAGAAAAGAGTAATTTAAATACGTATTTATGTAATAAAAATCGATGTAATGTAAAAAATAAGTACATGCACACGGTTTCTTGATGGTTGAAAACAACGCTCTAAGAAAACTGTCTTGGCTAGACATACACGGGTGCTCAGACAACAAAAATGGAATTTTTTATGAGAAATCATGAAAAAAACAACCTACAAAGAAAGAGGATAATAATAAATATAAATAATTAAGTAGTTACAAAATTTAATTTGAAACTAATGGAAGAAACTCTGAGGGCAATGAGTTTAACAGTAAGTAACCGACATAGTACCCACATCTGTCCGCCACTCAAATCAAGTTTGAACTGAGGGGTAGAAGTTTAAAGGTTCATTCCTTATGAAAGAGCCCAATTTGCTTCTATTGATAAGCCATCACGATAGAAGCAGCGCATGATAGATAAATAAATAATTTTTATTTTTACGAATTAACCTTGTTTTCGGTTTTTAGTTTTCGACTTCGGGGAACATATTAACGGGGA